GCTATATTGTGAGTCTCTAGTGATACCTACTTTGAGGGAAAAAAGGCAAAGATTCTGTTTGAAACATTAAGGTAACTGTTTTGCTATGAAGGTAAATGTTTTCTCTGTCCACTTTTAAAAAAATATAAGTGATTGGAAATTACACATTAATCTGTACTTTTATTAACTTTCAAAGATTTAAATAATAATTTAAGAAGCAGTATTGCAAGAGAGACAAATGAAGAGCAAGCTTATCCACTCAGTGCCATATTTTCCAGAACTCTCTTGTGATGTTGACTGTCCCCAATTTTACAAGCCCACCGCCTCACATCCTAAATTCTCATGTATAGCATACAGCAAAGCCTATAAATCAAGTTCCTCACCTTGAACTCTCCACCTCCACTCTGCAAGTGTAAAAGGCAAATAACACTGACCAAAGTAGCACTGTACGCATCCCCCACATCAGTAGAAGCAGATTTTATACTGCACCATCTCTTTCACTCCACTCATTTAAAAAATTGAATACAAGTTTTATGTAACCAGAACAACATTTTAGTTCTCCAGATGGACACGCAAGGTCGCTTTCTCAATGGCAACACTGCCGGGGTCCCTCTGTTAAAAATCCAAAGAAAATGAACAAAAACCTTAAGATTGCTTTTTTCCCCCTATTTCACCATGTTTTGCTTGCTTCCCCCCCCGCCCCACACACACAGGAGAGGAATTCAGCAATGTCCTGTATTCTGTGTACATTGTTTTAAAAAGTAATAAATGTGCAAATTGTAACCAAACATTCTGTGCTTGAAAAAGGCAGGCAGAAAGCAGCCCAGCTCCCAAAGCCTTCAGCTTCAGGTGATCATACACCAGTGTTGCACCGCTGAACCAGCATCTCCATTACCGTGCCTTGAGGCTGACTGTTACCGATAGTTATGTCTCTCTGATGGATTTTTTTTTTTAAATATTTTAATAATAATAATAATCATCATCAGTGCATAATGTTACATTCCCAGCTCTGATAAAGCTATACAGCTTCCCCTCCCCCTTACTCATTTTATTATTAAAATCAAATAATACAGGCAACAGTTTACTAAAATCAAGTCATTTGGAAAAAAAAAAATAAAATTAAAACACCCAGGACTTTTCCTCCAACTACTCTACAAATCTTTACGTTTTACTGAAAATCACACCTTTGCACTGAACTTCAGTAAAATAGGAGCGAGCAATTCCACTGTGTACATATATTAAGCTCTGGACAGGCTGAACTATTGACCTCCTTTCCCACTAAAATATCAGTTAATCATAAAACTGAGCTGTGAGCTGTTACTCAGAAGCAGCAGCCAATGTAAGAGAGTAACTTCTAACTTACAGTTGATAAAGTGGGCTAAGTGGACAATTTTAGATTAGCACGTATTTTTTACACCCCCCCCCCCCCCAAAAAATTTTTTTTTCCCCCCCCCCCCCAAAAGGAAAAGCAATAGGCAATCACAACTCTGCGGATATGCTCAGAAGGACAACACACCCCAGAGCCACAGAAAACAGCCTTAAGGATTACTTCTGATTAAAGTGCTACTCTCTGCCTTACATTTTGGTTTTAAAATGCTTGAGAAGTGAATAATTTGAGCAATGACACCAGGCAAGAGGTGCAGTCGTACTGAAATAAAGCCCAGGTGCCCTGTGAGGATTAATAGGGAGGAAGGAGCCTTCAGCAGCAGCAGTTTGAAATTATTTGTGCCTAAGCACACACAGCCGGGAACACAATGCCGTGCTTGGCACTGACTTCAGCTGTGCTTAGAAATGGAAATACAAAGCATACAACCTGGCTATTAAGGAGGATAATGTCAAAAAACAGTATTTTGCTTCACATGTTCTAGTCTTACTTCAGCCGTTTAAAAGCTCTCAGTGGTTTCATATATCTGACTGCTCTGCACTGTCTTTAATTGCAGACTGATAAAGCAACATGCAAGTTTTCCAGCAAAATGCCGTCACTCAGCTTCAGCACAGGACAGATTACCTGGGAAATGCCAGGTAGACAAACAGACTGTTGGAGGACTTTAACTAGTGGAAGAATTATCTCTTCATTAGAAAACAATTGTGTTTAGCATTAGTGGAAATATTTATTAAATGAGTCACCAGACAATGGTTTTGCTATGAGGAAGACAGAAAAATATCTAAATACCTAATAATAAAAATGCACATCTGATACCGAGATAAGTACAATCATTGCTCAAATTGTTCAGAATTAGGATACATCTCCAGCAAAGCACAGGCCAACTGATCAATAATGTTATGAAGAAATGTCATTAAATTATAAATACTGAATGAATTATGGAAAAAAAATAATTTTCAGTCTTCATTTGAAAACAATGCTAATATTTGCTTAGATATTAAATAAAACAGAAAGCAGAATACTAACCTATTCTTATTGATGTGTCAGTGAGTTCGCTATCACTGCTACTTGGAATGTAAACATTTAAAATAATCAGATCAACGTTCGCTAATGTGTACTTTTTAATCTGTATAGAGAGCAGTCAAACTTCATGCTGAAAATTCATTAATTTCCCGTCACCTCATTTGACACTGAGCAGATAATCAATTATAATTTGTTTCAGAATTTGAACTAATATGTACAAAACTTATGGAAAGACAAAACTGACAAAAAACATCGACAGAAAAGAGAGTATCTGTCTGAAAAATAAGTGATCTTGTCAGAAACAAGAATTAGGAATAATTGAAAAATCTCCAGAAAGAAGATATTGCTGCAGAGATGTCATCTAATATACCACAGTAAATCTTCTGCCAGTCGCTTGTACAATACCAGCAGGAGCAGAGACTGCAGGTTGAGCTGTTCTGTTATTAGCTTTGCTTTTTCTTATAAATCTTCTCTTTGGAAAAGACTAATTTTTATGTTTATAGTTTGCCTTTTACGAGCAAAATATTAAAAAAAAAATCATATTGATTTGGGCTTGCAGTAATTTTACAGAAGCCTTAAGAGAACTCTACAAGGAAGGTCTGTCTTCATTTTCCAGACAGGTGAGGAGGTAGCTGGCCAACCTGCACCTCAAACCGGTGCCATCATGCCTCATACTGGGCACAATCCTTCAGTCCTTTGCACAATCCTGCAAACCCTTGCTGACTCACATTTTCCTAATTGAAATTGGTTAATAGTAACATTTACGCACCTTCCCTTTCATGGGATAAGAAGAACCAGTCTTATTGCAAGGTAAACAATGCAAAATTTTATCATTATTAAAATAATATTCTCACAGAAGTTCAGATTTTTTTTCCCCAAGCATTTTTTTTTTTTTTATCTGCTTCATTTCATAGTGGATTAAATTTAGTTGAAAACTTGTTTCAAGTCAGACTAGATTTTGGTGCCTTGTACGTGACTGTTAAGTTAAAAACAAATTAAAAATAAAATCATACTCACAATAACGTTGTTTCCCCCAACTGGCTTCTAAAAATATGTCACATAAATCAGGACTTCGTTTCTTTTCCTTTCCCTTGCCATTAAAAAGCTTTAGTCTGTCACACACTGTGCAAATGAAATTATATTTTTTCAAGCACTGGGAAAAAGAACCCGAACATTTGGGATTTGTTAGTTTCGGCTCAGACTCTTTAAAATAGAAGCTGTTTTCCAATTCCTACTTTTTCAGAACAACGCCTAAACCAATGCAGTACAATAAATCAATGCCTTAACTTTACCTCTATCTCAACAACTGTCGTCTTAACTGAGATGGACACATATTTTTTTACTTCACGGGAACAACAGACTAAATTATAAATAAGATAACAAATTCCAAAAAGTGCCTTCAGTTTAGTCCTGTTCCAGCTGTTTGCCTCAGCTTACGACAATATTATGCTCAATTTAAAAAAAAGACTGTCTGATTTTCTGGGACTCGTACCTACTGACCCAGTCCATTTGAAGTTGTGGATTGTGATCCAGACACAGACCTTCTTCCTTATGTAAACAAAATGAGTGGTCATCCATGCTTAGGTGAGAACTGAATAGCTGCTGACTGAGGTCTGTCATCAACTTGTGAAAAAAATATTTCATTTATATTTCCATTTTATACATACATACATACGACACATGGAAATCTGCAACTGCAGCTCTTCTTACTATTTTAGTGTATCTTTGAATAGATGGTTATCAGCACTTTGTTAAATCTAATATACTGCAAACTTTAAAATACTGTAAATCAGGCCCTAAAAATTCTGAGATTAGTAAAAAACTCACTATTTAATTTCTGCTTATTTGCCTCCCAGTCTGATGTTCAAATCTATAATTTTTCTCCTCTGTGACTATGAGACGTAGGCATTATCTTTCTACTTATGAAAGCTGAGATTAAAATAACTTTAAGTAGCTTTAGAAGGAACAGCATATAACACACGTTGGCAGTGCTTAATCTTCTTGGTGCTGGCCATGCAGGCGCACTCTAAAAAAACAGAATGAGACTGAAAGATTCAGCAGTACGTGATTTTGGTGGTGGTAGGTCAAAAATAGAGAAAAGAAAACACTCTATTAATATTTGCCATGGTGTTTTAGTTGTCAGAGATTCTGGCAGGCCATGTGTATCTGCTTGGAAAAAGAAAAATCACCCAAATTTAATCTACATTTTTTGTAAAATTCTATTTCTTAAAGAGATTCTTCTTCCACGCAATTACCTTTATGTGCAAATTTACCTAAAGTTCAAGTGAAAATATGAAGCTGAAAAAACAGGTGGTTTGTCCTTTCTACAAATGGTGAGGTCTCCTTCCTCGCATGAGAAGTAAAATGTTTTCTTAGCGTACTAACGTCCCGCCTCCTAACCTGCCTCCCAGGGTTAACAAACAGCAACCTCGACAATGACCAGGCAAAGCATGGGACACAGCAAATCCATGTGGGCCCAGACACTTGAGGATCCCTTGGGTGCCAAGGGAACCCTTAAATACTGCTACAAGTTAATTAGAGCCAACAAGCCTACCAACCAATTAAACCATTAAATAAATCGTTTTGTTTGGTTGTATTTCAAAGCAGCACTCACCCGCACATTTGGTCCTGGTGATGAGTGGTGGTCCTGGCTGTCCAGTCCCACCTTCACCCGGTCTGGTGAGCAGGACGCGAATCTCATATTCAGTGTCGGGGTCCAAGTGCCAGAGCTTGTAAGTTGGCGCATTGACAGCATGGGTTTCCGTCCAGGTCCCAGATGTCATTCGGTACTCAACTTCTTTCAGGATGATGGGTCCGTCCCCAATGATGGAGTTGGCATTCAGCTGAATCAGCAAGTACGTGGGCCCAACGCCCAGCAGCTGCGGGGGTGCTATGGGCCGAGGCGGCTCTGTAGGGGAGACAAAAAAAAAAAAAAAAAGCCAGTGATAAAACAGAAGCTGGAAAACCCATTAAGAAGAGGGCTCTTTCCACAGAAAGTTGTCAGGTTTTGGTCAGCAAAGACTTCAAAACTTGAAAGCAAAATCAAACTGACATCAATTGAAGAAGAGCTGACGAGAATTTCAGCTGATGGAAGCGAGTGGCGCACCACTGGCATCTGCCCAATGCTATTTTTTCCATTTAGAAATCTCAGCTAAGGACCACAAAATCCTATCTGATTTATATGTTGCTACTTCTTAACATTTTTTCTGGAAAAAAAAAAAAATAAAAAAAAATCTGAGTTCACGCTCATTTATATAATTTACTATGTCAATAACATGAGAATTTTAGGAACATAACCGATTTTCTTTTATGGACAGAAACCCATATATACTTTCCTTAAAGAAACAGTTGAAACAGTTGATACACTCGCCCTGCACAGAATATTCTTAAAAATTAGTATCACTGCAGTTCATTTGAAATCCACCAGATGCAGTTAGGGTAAAAGACACAAATACATCTTATAGGCATTCAGGATACTCTGAACTGAGCAAAACTGCCAAAAGAACGACAAAATAAAGACGTATATCAACAACACATAATATTATCTTATTCTTCAATAACTTACTACTGATTTAGAAGCTCAAACAACAGGATATATGTTGCCTTTTGTCTTCCTCTGTTTGCCTGCCTAAATTTTCAACACAACTGCATAGTGAAAAGGTAACGACGGACCAAACAGGGAGGTGAGGTCCCCCTCACCCTGAGAAATGTTTACGCAGAGAAGCCGTACATTGCTTCAGCATGATTTATTTTAAGAAACAAATCACAAGCAACATGTACTTTCCTAATAAAATGAAGCCACTGATAAACACGGAAGGTTCATTTTCATTCCAGATGGCTCATATTTCAACTAATTTGTTTCAGTTAATTAGGCAACAATGCTAAATTCAATGCACACAGGGGTTTCGCACAGTAGCGATGCAGAACTAACAACGTGGCAACTCCGATCAGGTAGAGGGATCTCATGGCCAGTACATTAAAAATAACATTTAAACCCAGACCATGAGAATTCCCTAGAGGGGGACCCTTCCCATCACTGCTGCCCCCACCCCTCCACACAAGAGAAATGGAGGTGCAGAAGCATCGCACATATTCTGCCTCCTGCGAATGACCCCACCAGCACCAGTGAATGAGCCCCTTGGAGGGAGCAGTGACAGAGGGGCTCACAGAGGGTCTCCAGACCTCCTTCGAGATCCCACCCTTCCTGCATGGTGAAGTGCAGCTAACCGCTCCCCAGTTCTTTAGATCCAGCAGTAAAGTTTCCCCTCCAGATACCAGAGCTGGCTCCCAACACTGTATTTACCAGCTCTGTAAGCAACCATGTTTCCCACATTTTGGTACAAAAGGATTTCTTGCTGACTTTTTTCTAAAGTTGCTGCATCTCAAGCCACTCAGTGTGGAGACCAGGGAGTCTGTGAACATGCAGAGCTCATTTTCTTCTCCCACAGTGAAAAGGTGAATGCTCTCAGGTGTTCCCGTTTCTGTTTCTAGAGAGTATCTCAATTAATTATTAACGTGTTTTACCGTGTTTTGGCAAGAAATGTGCATATGAACTAACTTAGATCCCTACCTGCATCAAAGCTCAGAAATGCATCCGGGCTTAATGAGGGCAGTTTATTTGCTCTGGAACTAACACATTAAATGTCAGACTAATGAATTTTAAGGTCAGTGTATATTACAGCAGAAAACAAACGCTGATGAGCATGATGCACTACCAACTGCAAGTTATAAACCTCTAAAACATAAGGCTATGTTTAGAAGTATACACTTTGATTAAGAGCACGATTATCACAAATAAAACCTCACATTAATGAGACTAATATACCATTGAATATTAAATTTTTATGATAAGAGGTAAAGCGTATTCTTATATTAGCATATGCATTTTGTTTTTAAGGTCTTGGGGACAAGGAGACTTATTTATAAAGTCTCTCCCAGTTCCAATAAATTATGCATGAATTTTAATCAGTGAGCAAATGAACAAGTAATTGTTCTCAGCATTATTAATATTCTTCATAATACAATACACTATCAGAACCAGAGGTGAGATGCAACCAGAAATCCCAAAAGTACACTAAGTATCAACTGAAGCATGCAATCTCAATATACCAGGATAAACTTTTCTGCTGTTACCCAATTAACTTTCTATTAATTATCCTTATTCGTTATTCTATAACCAGATCCATCAAATATTCCCCAATTATAATTTCAAATCTTATCATTTCCTTATATATACAGCAACTCACAACTTTTACAGTTTAAAAATTGCCATTGATAACTAAAAGATGGAACAAAGCCATTGTTAATGTTTTGGTTGCCATTCCTGTAGCAAGTATCACATGTACAACAATATTCCTCTTTTGGTGGGTTTTTAAACACAATTCACATCCTTCAAGAAACTGATGTTGCTGGCTGCTGTTTTCACTCGAGCAATCTGCATCCACCTAATAGCAAAGACGACTGTTTTGCAGTGTCCTGAGAAGACAGGGACAAAATTTAAAAACTTCTTATATAAGGGATGGAAAAAAAGGGGATGCATGAAAGGGAACCCCAGAGAAAATCACCCTCTCAGAAGTTTAGTCTGGTTTATAAACAGTACAAAAAACACAGCTTAAGCCAAGCCAAGTGACAGCTTTGGAGTTCTGAGCCTGGATCAGAGGTCGCATCGCAGGCAGCTGAGGCTCACCAGCTACCCATCAGACCAGCCTCTCCTCTGCCCGGTCCTGCCAAGGCACTCCGCTCGCAGGTGGTCACTACTCAAATGCATTTTGTGGTTTCCAGTCACTCACACCTGCAGCCAGGTCAGGCAGCACAGTGACCTCCCTCTAGCCCCCACTGCCCTGGTCGCTACAACCAAACTGGAGAATTTTACTCTTTATTTCTGCCAGAAGACAAACCACCCATCTCAATTATTATGAGCAGATGTGGTCAAGGCACACAGTATTCCTAGCAAGCAATTTTCATTGAGTATGGTTCCACTTTTCTTGGCTGTGAACCCTCTGTGAATAGCCATAAAGGTTCTAAACAACATTCTATGAAAAAATATTTCAACCCATGGATGGTTTATATACTCACCAATAGAACCACAACTTCAGTAGGTATTTAAGACACACTAAGCAGTCTGAATGAAGACCCTGCATGCTGAGTTTCATTTCTTCCTTTCCTAAGCACAAACTTTAGAATCTCTTTTCTAGTGTACCTAGTTTAATTACTGACTTGTTTTCTGACTATATTTTTTAGCCACTGCTTAAAGGTGTTAAATCTGATTAAATCCCTCCCAGTATGCACGGCCATTAACATCTCTGAAAGACTATAAAAAAAGAGCACTTGTACATCTGCAAGACATTAAAGAAATAAAAGTATTTTCATGCATAGCATTTTGCAGTATTTGGCCAGTTCTGGTTTTGACATAAAATGCCCACAGCTAAGTCAATAAAAAATTAAGACTGACATTTCATCAGTACAGAGTTCCTATTCTGCTGAGCTACTAGCAGTACATTATGCTCACATCAGTATGTATATGACATTACATATTAAATGTACTGTGATATTTAGCCACCAATGACTAGAATAAGCATGCAGCATCAACCTCAGCTATAAGTCTTCACACAGTTAAGCAGTTGTGTCACATTCTTAATATTAAATATTGTATGCAAATAATCATGTATTCATAGACAGAAAAAAACCCCCAAAACCCCGAAACAATCAGAAAAGGTCACTGGTGTTATTAGTACAGTAACTAGTATGCATAAAAAATATGCCTTCATTCCTGCAACTCTGTCCCAACCTTGCCTCGTCTGGAGTCTCCACACATTAATACCCTGCAAGCTCCCTCTGCTCATGCGTGCAGCATGCCTTCCCTCTGGTGACAGCATGTTCAGCCTTCTCTGTCAAATACCTTACACAAAGCTATACAGTTGGTAAGCTGATGGGTATCAACAGTTTAACCCAATATATACAACAGAGGTAATAATACAAAAGCTTAATTTTACAAGTATAATAAAGCATCCATTTATTAAAGGAAGCCCAACATCAGCCTCACTCCTCTAGAAATTTAAATCTGTATGTCTTAACTATGTCATAAACTGCCAAGAAAGCAGGCTAATCAAAAGAATACAATTTTCCTTTAAAATTTTTCATAATTCAGAGAAACAAACAAACAAATCCATATAAATACAGCTAATACTGGATGTTCTGGGGAGTAAAGCGGAGATGCCTCCACAGATGACTCAAGACTGACTCAGCTCCCACCTAGGTCAAACTCATTTCCTCTTCTAGGGCATTTTCTTGCAAAGCTGTTTAAGTATGTCCACACATTTCTTGCAAGTACTCTGGGTTTCTACTTGAGGTTCAGTGCCTGACCTGCACTGGCTATGTATCATTAGAGGATGACCTTTGCCGTACGAAGCTCCCTGTGACCAAGGGCAAAAGGGAGCGCAGTCTGAGACACCCAAGGTTTCTCAAGGAGCCAAGGCACACAGACCAAGTGGAAAAACCCTGCTTAGCAGGAGCTGGCCCTGTGCAGAGTGTGCTGGTGCATCTGCTCTGGGCTCCAGACTGCACATGGAGATGTTATGGGAAAGCTGCGTCAGAAGACTCAAGGCACAGAGCCAGAAGAGCGTGGGGAAGCAGCCTGCCGATCCCATACAACAGCTATACTGTTTCAGTACTCTTCCTGTACTGGAAGATTACATATGGTTCTAGAGATTCACACATTTTAAAAAATATTGAAAAACTGAAGAACTAGGAACATTTGTTTAACAGTTGGAGAAAATGCATGAGATTTAGCAGAAAGAATTACGGCAGTCAAGTACTTGTGGGGAAACAAAACTCTCAGTATTAAAGGCTGGTTAATCCAATGGAAAAAAAGAATTAACAAGAAGCAGTGACTGAAAGCTTAAATTCAAATATGGTATTAAGCCACAAATTTAACAGTGAGAATAGTAAATGAAGAACAAAACCTGATAATACTGTAGGAAATTCTGCGTTCTCTATTTGAGTGTCTTCAGTCAAGTCTGAGTGTCTTCTTATAAATTATATGTTAGGAGAAAAACCAGAAGATTATAACAATATGTAAGGCTACAAAGAAGTACAACTGAAAGAAACTACATAGTG